GGAAATCAACTAGCAGTTCTGCTTTATTCACTCATATCCCAGCACACACAACTTCAATTCAGGTAATTCCAAAGCCATTTGATAGCTAAGATACAACACTATAATTCTTAAGAAGAAACCATCAACCAATTCGGTAATATTCCCGGTCAAACTAACCACTTACAGAGGCTGATTTTCATTCTCGGACAGAAACAGGGCAGCAGGGGTATTTTGGTCTTTTCACAGGCTACGTTACTCCGATTGAGCTGAAATTTTGCAGGCAACTATAAAATATCATTCTCTACAACTTTTATGTTTTGTGCTAAGGCTATTTCGGCCTATAATAAGGTGAAATAGAACCGGACAGAAGCAGGGCAGGTTATCATCCAAGTTGGAATTCATGCATTCAAGTGCTAATCTTCCACAAAACAACATCTAAAGCAACTAAAAACCACTAATAAGCAATTAATTGAAATAAAGAGGATGTTCTAGGCAAAATACCTTAAAACCACAAGAAAGGTAGTAGCTTGGAGCTTGTCCCTTCAAAATCACTCCAAATCACTCCACTCAATCCTTTAATCCACCTTAATAAACAACTTTGATGGAGGGTTTTGCAAAAATTCTGATTAGAATTCAAGATTGGGCAAGAAATTGAAGAACAAATGAAATTTCTCTCTTGGTTTCTTTCCCTCAAGGTGGCCGGCCAAGGAAGCTTAAAATGGGATAGAAATTGGGTCAGAATTGAAGTTTAGGAAAGTGAAATACTCTTAGTCAAAATCCACTCACTAATCGGGTCGCGACACGTGGCGTCTCTAAGCTTTAATCTTATCTTCTTGTCTCTCCATACTAATTAATCTAGCTAACATCTAATTGTCTCTTAACACCTCGTAAAATAATATCACTTAATACAAAACTCTAACAAGTTGCCAAAATATAACGCATTTCCACACTAGCGGGTCCCACGTCAATAATATACTTCAAATTAACGTACACTAACTCATATTAAGAAGATGATTTTAAAATTGTACTTACTTGTAAAAATGCATAGAAAATTTAATATTTTCAAGGAAAGTATAAAATATAGTCAAAGAAATAAAATAATGCTGAGAAAGTGTGAAAATTTTTTGGGTCCTCACATAACATGTATCTACAATCTATACTCATACCAAGTTTAAAAGAAATCCTCTTTAATTAATTCACTGCTATTGCATGAATAGGTACCAAATTTCTAACATGAGGTAGTAACCAGCAATGTTTAATTAATACAGTGTGCAATTCCCTTCCCTCTTGTACCCACTATTCCTTTTTTCATTTCTCGCTCCAATGTGATGCTCTACGTATATAAATGCCAAAACCCACTTAATTAGAGATACATAAGAGTATTTCTTAACTATCAGTAGTTTATCTCAAAAAATATTTACTATTAAGAAGTATAGTTAACCACAATTACTCAGATACCTCGTAATCCTAGAAGAATCCCTCTTTAGAGATATACATGAGTGTATTTCTCAATTGTCAATAGTTTATCTCAAAGAGTATTTGTGATCAAGAAGTACAGCTAGCCACAATCACTCAGGTACGTTTTAATCTTGAAGGAATCCCTCTTTGTTGTACGCCATATTTCATTTGTGTAATTTCAAATGCTTAGTTTGCTTATCTTTTATCTTTGTATGTGTCAGTCTACTGTGATGTGAGCATCCATACACAGTCGGTAATATAGTCTAAACTGTACGATGTCGCTACTATCCTGCAACAAGAATAAAAAAAAAGCAAGTAACAATTACCTTCATACTCTCCTTGTTATTTTATATGCCTATAAATATCCCAAGTCATTTAATTTGTCTACTGAGTCAAATTTACAAACACTTGGTGTGCATAAGTTCCTTGTGCATACCTCCCCCAAGTTGGCTCTTAGAGTATCTAACTTGTACTACCCAAACGGTTTCCTTGTTTAGGAGTTTTCGCCAGAGTTCGAATTTCATTATTCATGTCACAGCGTCTTAAACAAGTTGTACAAACAAAACCATGAAAGTAAGTTCATCCCTCTTCAATCACAAAACAAGCCAAATATTGCAATGAGTTTGCAATATTCTTATCTATGGGGTTTATCCAATTCGATTAAGTGTATCTCTGCTTCAGATCTCACCAACTTTCACCATTTTGTAGCCTTTATGAAAAGTTCTTGTCCCGCAGCAGTTAGTTTTTGCATTCCCTCGGTACATTAACTGGTAACACTATGCTTCTGTAATACTTCCTCCGAAAACCTCTCATCTAAACCTTCCCAATTTGGGGCAGAGATATTATTCTTTCGATGCTCTGAAATTGTGAAGGAATGCTCACAAGATAAGTTTTTGGAGGGAGACCAAAAGTCTATTGCATTTGAAGATTTTAGAAGAATAGTTGCCGCTCATTAATTTGAGTTGGAATTCTTGGAACGAAAGCTGAGATTTTTTAACGGAGCCCATTAGCCCCTCATATGTTTTTTTTTTTATTTTTTTCCCTGCTAAGTTAGTGAAACGGCGTCCTTTGCTTTGACTGTTGCTCCCATTACACGTGGTCCATTGCAATCGTCTCATTCACTTTTGTGAGAGGACTGCTCAGGGACAGTCCACCTGATGACCGTCCCTGCCCCAAATCCCTATGTCTTGCTTCCTTTTACTGTATAGCATCATTCAAGACGTACATTCTATGGCAGCTGACTAATGGTGGGGTGACAACTCGAACAAGCAATAAATACACTGGATGAGCTGGAGCAAGCTGTGCACTTCCAAGGACCAAGGAGGTTTGGGTTTCAGGAACATGAAGGTGTTTAACTACGCAATGCTAGCAAGGCAAGCTTGGAGAATTCTTATCACCCCAACTTCCCTCCTTCACCGTGTTCTTAAAGCAAAGTATTTTCCTGATACTGATTTCTTCCAAGCAAAGTTAGGACATCATCCTTCCTTGACTTGGAGGGGAATAATTGAAGGCAGAAAAGGTTGCAGGTTGAGAGTTGGATCAGGTGAATCTATCAGCATTTGGCATGATCGTCGGCTTCCCAGACCAAGATCTTTTAAAATCTGTTCTCCTCCTCGCGTGTTGGATAGTCAAGCTCATGTCTCTGATCTTATCATTCGAGAGCTCCACATCTGGAACACAACCTTGATGGATGAAATATTCTGGGAAGAGGAAGCTAAATTGATTAAGAGCATACCACTTCCCAGAGTTTCTGCTAAGGACAGATGGATATGGCATTATTCGATTGGAAAATTATCTGTAAAAAGCGTTAACCATGCAATAATGGATTCAGACCTCCTTGATGTCGGACAAATTGACCTTCCAAGCTCAAGTTCCGGCAAAGATAATATTTGAAAGAAAATCTGGTCCCTTGAAATACCGAACCAAACCAAGCATCTTCTCTGGCGAATATGTCATAATTCCTTGTCTACGCCTGATAATCTCCATAAAAGAAGAATTTCTGTTGACTATAGCTGCGCGCTTTGCAAAAACCCACATGGAGATCTGTCTCACATTCTATTTGACTGCCCTATATTCCAGTACAGATATGGGCTATCACTTTGGTGGACAAAAAAAATCAATGCATGTCGCCAATTGGGACCTGATATTTGGACGAAGGAAATTCGTAGAACTTTGCCATCAAAAAATAGCGAACTTTTTGCTACTCTATATTGCGAGATACAGAGTAACAGGAATGATGCAATCTTTAAAGGTAAAGTTCGAGAACCTCTCTGACTATTGTCAATTTTGCTCTCCAACATCTAATAGCTTTCAAGGAAGCAAATGCTTGCGCTATGGTAATCCGTTATCAAAATCCATCCCTGTCCTGGTCGATGCCTGTTGCTCCCCACTACAAGGTGAATTTTGGTGCTTCAATGTCTACCATCAAGCAAGTAATTGGTGTTGGTGTGGTCATCCGAAGTTATGATGGTCAATTTATTGCTGGCTTATAGGAAAAAAAATGGATGGTCTAGCCAGTGCAGAAATTGCTGAAACTCATGCTGCGAGGGAAGCGATTCTTTTTACACTGACGCTGATGATTCCTACTTTTATATCGGAGGGAGACGCATCCTCAGTCATAAAAACCGATTAATGGTACAGAACAGATCTTCTCGGATATTGGCTCAATTTCACTGTGGATAAAAGCATTGTTGATGTAATATGGATTTCTAAAGAGGCTAAAAAAGTTGTGTATATTTTAGCACATTTTGCTAAAACATCCAACCGAATTTCTTTGGAGCTCTCATCTGAACTTTGTTAAACAATTAGTGCTGGACGAATTCATGCAATCTAATGAATGAATCTTTTTCGCTTTTCAAAAAAAAAAAGAGTAAGTTATTAGGTTCAATGTATGGGTCGAGTTTTAAAACTTTAGTTTTATCCAATAATAAATTAATAAATTATGGAACCTGAAAGTTCAAAAGAGAGCGCAGGAATGTTCGCCCTGTGCCCTCAAGTTTCCTAAGCTCAATGCTTCCTGTGGTAATCCATCACCAGTTAGGATTGACCTTGTGATGCTAGTATTTAGATGGTCTATGGATGGTGCTCATATCCAATTAACAGTATATATAAAGTCGCTAGAGGGATGTAAATAAAATATGTCACTGGAGTATTCAAAACAAAAAATGTCACTTGATATTACTAAATTTACCCTTACCATCAGAAAGAATTATATCATTTAAGTACCTCACTTTCCTATAACCACTTCACTTTCTTACAACCATTAAACTTGTCTACCAATTCTCTCAAACATTTTGCAAGGGTTGATTGAATTCTTTCAGACTACCATTTTTCTTCATCAGTTGAATGCTTGCACAGAGACAATTTTAATCTTTCCAATATATATATATATATATATATATATATATATATATATATATATATATATATATATCTCATTCATGTATCTTTCCATTATCACAATTGGCATACATGTAGAGAGGAAATCTTTGTAGAAGGATAATTTGGTACAGCAACAGAAAAAGATCTTTGTCGAACTCATTTGGTTTTCCATAATACTTAAAATTTCAACAAAAAATTACTTTTTTAACGTATGTTTTTATTTTCATTAGTCGTACACACATTGGGTGTGCTTCATGCACTAGTATCCGATTAAAGCTGAACCATGACACTACCTGAAGCTAAATGTAAGGGACTTCGACATTTTACTTGGTGGTTTGCCAGTGAAACAATCGTAGCTATGTTATAAAGACTTGTAACCACTTCCCAAATAAAGCTAATTCTCACAATAATAAGTTTCTTCCGCTTGTTGCATTTGCATGTGGGCAAAGAGTGTTTCCTTTGTTTATCTATCTCTTCCGACAAATTATCATGCCATCACCAATTGCAACCTACAGAAACACGGGGATTAAAGACAAATCTAGCTTGTGTTGTTAAGAATCATTAAACAAAAAAAAATGGATATACTTACCATACTAGTGCTTACACGCTCATCCTCCATCAAATTCTTGTTAAAATTCCTTATGCTAATAGTCTTTGCATCATTTACCTGCTCACTTATTGCAATTAGCATTGTATGATACCCAAATTAGGCAAAAATTTCAATGGCTATCATTTTACCAATGGATCAGCAACTTTCCCATGCCAGAGGACATTATCAAGCACAATAACCCCTCCAACTCTTACCTGCAAAAGAACAATGAGTTTCAACACTCAACCACCACTAAAAATTGTCCAAAAAAATCTTCCAAGAACCTAAGCATGTATTTGCATGCCAACAACACAAGGGAAAAATTTAAAAATGCTGTGTTGCAAACCAGCTGTAGCAGCAACTCGAAATATTCCTGATACATTCGCTTCTCAGCGTCCACAAAAGCAAAGTCATAACTACATGAAAGAGCTTAACTATTTGAGCGCACATACAGCAAAAGACAAGCTATGATTAAAAGAAGCAATGCTAGGAAGTGTTTGTGCACGTGTGTGCGTGCGTGTGTGTGAGAGAGAGAGAGAGCCTAAAATCATCCATTTGCAAAGCCATCAGCTATTAAAATCTTGAACATGCTATGTACAACAACAGGTGTTCCAGTGTCACAACACCATATAGTTATTCAAAATGCTAAGACAATCTTGCTGTTGACAAGGAGTACCTGCAACTTTCACCGTTCAAAATCATAGACTTCAAAGTATCTGCAGCAAGTCCATGTTTCACATCAACCTAATCGCACCAAATATGTTAGCAAAACAGAATTACTCCCAGAGATGCGTATCCGGTAGGATAAGCTTGATTAAAATGTAATTTGGTTCAGAAGCACGTTTAAGCATCACATAAGCAAAATAATATATATAAGAGGCTGCAAAATTCAACTATAACAAAGAGACCAAAAAAAATGATCAATTTATTTCTAATATTGTTCATAGTTTTCTAAGAATATGATCCTACTTCTTGGTGTTATACTGTTCTTGAATTTTGTAATTAATTTATATTGTTTAAAAGCTCTAGTTATGTCCTAAGAAATATGGCTTCTAGAATGTATTTTACACATGCTGATGTCTATTATGCAACACAAAGTATTATGTAAGACAAAATATTCACCTTGTGTGAAACACCAGCACGCTTGTAGTATCTTCTGGCAACTTCTAGTGATTTTGCATCTCTCTCACATGCAATTAACTCACCTCCTTCTGGCAGGGCCAAAGCAATAGCCAGAGATGAATATCCCTGTAGAGCAAGAATGTCATAACATATAGCAAAACTGTTCAGAAAGAAATGGTATACTCTTGAGATACTCTTTTCTTTCCACGTGCACATTTTTAAACCATGGAGAGCAATAAATTGTGAATACAGTCACAACAACAATTTGATGAAAGAAATGCTAAACAGAAAGATCATGTGTGCTTGATTAAAAATAACTACAGGGACAAGTAGTCTAGAGTTTGTGATCAAGAGAGATGACAATTATAGCTCTAAAAAACCTGCAAATTCCCAAAAAACAGCAACTGCATACTTAGTGCACAACCCGGCTTGTTAGGTTGCATGCAAGCCTACCAATACCCTATAAACTTTAGCTCAAAGTTCCAAATTTTGGTTCAAAATCTCTCAACTGTCTGTCGCTGACACAGTTCAGATCATGGATATTTCATTGACAAATAGGAAAGGCAACAGGTTTACAACTTTCAAAGAAGCAGAATGTCTTGCTAATTTTTAATCATATAACTAGTAGTAACAAGTACATAAAGAATATAAAGAGTTCCCACTTATTAACTAAAGTTGGGGATTCTTTTATTACTATGCTCTGCCTATTTGAAATATAATATTCAAAGTAAGCTAGTTTTAACATGGCAAAATGAATACAATGCTACTTATTCATAGCTCAATCTGCATTCACTGATTGATATTCAGCAGTGGATTGAATTGTGTCAAGCAGTAAAAAATATTGCCGGCGTGAAGGAATAATCTTTTGTTTCTTTCTGTTTTAAGAAACAAAACAAACCAGTATTAGCAGGTCAAATCATCAGCCGGGAAGACCAGAATAAGAACATTTATAGAATTATAAAACACGGTAATTGATGGACTTCTTGCTGTTTCAGTATCCCAGTCTAATTTATTGCAGAGTAATTTAATGCATACGCTAACATTTTGGTTATTTAGACTTTAGAGCTTCAAGGTTAAAGGTAATCCTGTAATTTGAGAAATGTTGGAATAGGCCATCAGAAAGTGTTTTTTAGAGTCAAAAGTTTTAGATGTTTTGGTGGCTTCTTCTGTGCTAGATAGATAGAATGAAACAGATTTGTTTTCTTGAATGTATTTATTGTGCTGTATCTTTGAGAAATGAAGGCTGCATCACTACTTCTAAGGAAATCTAGGAGTAATTTCTAGAATTTCTATATACTTCTTGCTTCCTTACTGCACCTAAACTCTTGCCGCAGCCCTCTCCTATCTCAAGTTCTTTCCTGAATAATATCTATTCATAGACAAAGACGCTTCCAAGGTTTTACAACTAAAAATCTTAGAATTAATAATATATCAAATGCTTCTTTAGTGCTGCATGAGTCCATTTGAATTAAGTAGTACTATTTGACTTATTGTGTAAAAAGACATAACAGCAAACTACGCAGAAGTATATCAATCAAGCAGTTGCAACTACCAATGCACAATTAATGGGAGAGATAAAATGGGGTCTGACTAAGGAAAAATGAAACAAATGGATGGTGCAGGGGGATCTTAAAGGACTTTACAAAAGCATCTAGAGAGTATTCTGCTTGATATACAAGTTTTCATGTCACTGCAGCCTCCCCACAACCTGCCTTACATCAAAAGCTTTCTCAGTTAGGTTGATCAACACATTTAGCCAATTGTCCCTGTCAACTAATCACATATGCAAGAAGCCATCAAAGAATTCTTATTTCCCAAATTCATTATCATTTAATCTCCTAAGAAATTGCAAAAAACAAGAACTTCCCACATGCATTGCCCTCTTTTTATTAAGGCAAGTTCAGCCAGGGTCTGGTTGGAGAATATTCTCTCAAAAGAATTTACTTTGTATAGTCAAATAGGATTAGCACACCCATCTACTCCTGGTGGAAAGACTCCCAGGACTGAAAAGAAAATGAGAACTCAAATATCCCAAAATTGTAGCCCCATTTACTTTGTCTACCCTGAAGATGGTTTGGATCAATGCCCAAAGTGCTACACTGGTGTACTTGGGAGTTTTTCTTCAGACCGTCACTGGACTAGTCAAAACAAGTGAAGATTCACCAAACACTGTGAAGTCAACAAATAAGCGAATTACAATAGCCTAACCTACAAATATTGATAAATGCGGAGAACTCAACTGGAAATGATTTAATTGCAGAATTAAGGCATACTAATTCAATATCTTACTCAATATATATTCAGAACCATACTGTATACACAAAACTAAAAACAGTAGATGTCAAAACCTCATGTTATTTTGATGTTAATTATAAATCATGTGTTATTGGATTAAATCTTGACAAGTAAATTATGCTACTCTTTCAACATTGGAAATACTCTATCAGGGTGGAAAGGTACATTCTGCCAATTTTATCTCTATGGGGCATTGAGGCTGAAAAAGTCTCTCAATGGATAACAATCCACCTCACTGATGCTCAATACCTTGGTGGGAGCTCATTGTGGATTCTTTACCAGGGGCGCCTGTCTACAATCATTAATTCCCCAATAGCATAACATGCTACATGTTCCAATATCAAATGACTTGTTTCCCTTCACCCAATAGATCAACAGAATATAAGCCTCTTCATTTCTAACATGAAAATCCAGTTACTGACATAATGCTCTAAAGCTGCTCTCCCAAAATCCTTTTTGCTTCACATGAGTCATCATCTCACTTTCTCACTCTAACAAGATGCAATTATTCTCTGTCTAACAAGATGCAATAATTGCAAATAGCAAGCCTATGGCTATGGCACAATCCTGTAGAAAAACTTTTGTGATAGACTAACAGATGTATGGAACTGTAATGATGTACATGAAGCAAGTCAACTTACTTTTCCTCTATATAGTCCTAAAAGAACTAAGGGCTTGTTTTCGGTTGACTACTTTAGCTGATTATAGATTCTGATTTTGGATAATCAGTTAATGTGATGTTCTCATTTGCTTTTATAATTAGATTATAGATTTTTTTTTATTGGCAAAAGGCTAAAATCCATAATCAACCACTGAGTAGCTTTTGCTGATTCTGATTATTCTCTATAATCACCTTCCATAATCAGATTTTGCAAAATCTAAAGCAAACGAGAACAAGGCCTAATACTCTCTAATCACACTCCCTAGTGAATACAGGTGGCAATTCAGATCAAGTAAATGTATTTGGAGATGCAAACATCCAGCTCAGTAGGAAATATTAGGCTTGAACACATCCTATGCAGCAAAATAACTTGACACTGAATTTACTCAAACACATCCTATGCAGCACACACATCCTATGAAACTTGACACTGAATTTACTCAATACTATTGATTATAAGTTGGACACAAGTGAACTCATACATACAGTGTAAACCCCAACTTCAATGCACCTTTTAGCTCCCAGGATTTGGACAAGCATACTGAGTAGTTGGGCTTGATCAGGAGAAACCTGTTAATAAAGATCAATTTAAAAAATAATACACCTGTCAACAGGAAAATAATGAAGCATGTAGGAATACACACACACACACACAAAATAATTTCTTTGTCTATGCAAAGTGAACAAAATCTAGAAGTGCGCACACACACACACACAGAATAATTTCTTTATCCATACAAAGTGAACAAAATCCAGAAGAGTCAGTAACTATGGAACAAACCCATCACACCTGCATCTGACTACCGTGCATGGTTGAAGTCTCCTCTCTAAGTTCACGCAATATCTGAAACAGAGTAAAACAAACTTCACATGATATAAGTCTCTATATGGAGAGACAGGGCATAAAGCAATGCAAATCAGAGGATCTTTGACCTTTGACTCTCTAACATTATTTAATATGTAGTCGTAGAGCCGCGGAGTAACACTGATAACCTGCTTACTCCCGTGCTTCTTGTCAGTTGCGGCAGTCACTGCATCTGATTTACTAGACTCAGAATTAGACCAAGGGGGGCTTGAAGCAGTAGCCAATGAGGCTACATCGCTGTTGCATTTGACAACAAATTGGGTAACCTGAAAACCACGGACAGACAGTCGAGAGGCCAGTGCTATCATTGGTATTGCCCAATGATGTTTGATCATGCAGCTGGACATTGTTAAATCCTACTGCAACCAATGACTTCACCACATGCTCTGCTAAAAAAATTGACGAGTTCAGTGTTCTCAGAACACACAGAAAATCACATGTTTATCTAAGACATGCTAAAGTCTTAACATATTTGGCTACATATTGGTATTGCAGCCATATCACATTAATCTTTCAAGGGTTTAGTCAATTATAAATATTGTCCCTCCATTTCTAAAAATTATCACTGCATTTGTTGCTTTTCCTTTTGAAGCTTTAGAACTGATTTTCCCAAAGACTCATTTATATTTAAGGCACATTATACGCTACAAGCAAAGATAGCATAACACTTAACAAAGTGCTTCGGCAGTATATGTAGTCAAACACACATACCTCAGAAAAGATTGAGTCTTCGACCAAACAGAGTCCTGCAGTATACGTAGTCAAACACACATACCTTCAGAAAAGATTGAGTCTCAACCAAACTAAAGAATTCTGAATTGTATATGACTTATCAGTAGCATAAAAAATGCACAGATTCTGAAGATCAGATGCTTATCTGAAAACAACTATCTTTTGTATTAGTGTGAACCGCCAACGTATTCGCACTGACTATTTTTAAAGAATGTAAGCACCATTAAGCATGATAGAAGATGCAATTTCTTTGTGTTTGGAGGATTAAGTCTTCTACTTTTCTTGAATTAGTTCAGATTTGTGAAATATAAAAGGGAAATTCATTAATGCTGAAAGTGCTTTCACGGACTGTAAATTTGTCAGGAAGTTTTTACAAAAGATGTATCTTTATGTAATCATTTGATCGAACTTCTTGATCCTCAAAGAAATTGAGAATTGTCTTTGAATACTCATTAAGTGTTTCTTCACACATGTTAGACGAAGTCTAGAATGGAGAGAAGAGTTAGCTAATGGAAACTTTTCCATTCAACCAATTTCACCCAAAACAACATAACTGTTTTAATACAATAAAAAAGGCAACACAACTAAAACTATTCCAATTTTCAATTTTCCATTCAAACACCAAAGAGAGGGAAAAAACAAAAAAGAAAATCTAGATTTTACGTTCCATTCCAAGAAAAGCTGCATATACATCTTTCTGGTTTTTCCTTGCATAAACTTTCCTTATCTTTTGTGCTCCTACCTGTTTTGTGTTTTTTTTTTCCTGAGTTCAAACATAGCTCTAGAAGGAAGAACCCAAAAAATTTCCAGAAGTGACATTGTCGAGTTTTGGGGAGAAAAGAGAGCCATTTCCTTTTCCCCACTGTCATGGCACAAAAGTTTCAGCCCAAACCAAGCGCCTCAAAGTTAGGAAAAGTTTCTTTTAACTCTGCCAGATGAAAACAAGCAGCACCTCCTTCCATTTTGAACTCTAATGATGCTCAAGTGTAAAAATTTAAAAGAAAAAAACTTTTTAAACCGTTAAATACATCCCTTACAGATGTCATGAACACATAGGGATGTCTTACAGTTGTTATGCATTATAACACAACAAGAATACCTATATGTTCATTTCGGAACTTAAATCAAATTATTCTCCATCAATTATTAATACATCTATTACGCCGTTGCCAAGGCCCTGTATGAACCCAGTTATCAGCATATTCATAACGATTTCACAATGCAAAAGCAGTACTGGGACTAATATCAAATCTGGGATAACTTAACCATAAGTAACTTCAGAAGTACATATCCCCACATATTTTAAACTGGAAACAATCATAACCACAGCAATGTTGGTTTAATTCCATTTGAACAACGAGAAAATTCATGAAGTAAAAGAACAAACACATAATATGCATAAACAGGAGTCCCTAGAGTAAAACTACCCCAAAAAAATGAATAAGTACCTTTTTCAGCACAATTGTCACCTGTTGCTTAAATGGCCTTTGCAATTGGCAAGTCCTGCAAGCGAAATCAAGGAAAACTGATTGAAACGAAATTTACCCAAAAAAATGTCCTTTAACGAAGAAAAACTAGTCTATGTCCTTTCACAAAGCATCCAATAAAGAAACAATTGGATTACCATAAAGATTTTGATGTTAATTCGTCACCTGAGGAAGAGTCATTAGGGAAGTAGAATAGCCATGAACGAACTTTATTGCAGAGAAGAACTTCATTCAAGGTAGGGAAAGTTAGGGATAATTTCATAAACCTTCCCTTAGGTTTCTGACACTTCCACTGACACCCGTCAAGGTTATAAAAATGTCACTGAGCTCCCCTAGCTGAGATTTGGGGCTCTTGCTGACATCATGAGTACCGAAATTACCAGTTTGTCCTCTGAAGTTGGGAATAACGACTGACGTTAATTTGGGGATCAAATGCATCTTCACATTCCTAATTATATTTAACTAGAATACTAGAAATTTAACTTCTAATTAAGGTGATTAAGAGTCCATTACACAAAGCGGCCAATAGAAGAAGGAATTTGGTGCCATTTTTGTGATTAGTACAATTTGACAAGGATGATTGAACAAATGCATCTTACTTTGTAGCCATATAACTAGAAAGGAAAAAATAGATAAGGAAAAAATGAAAGAAAAAGAAGAAAACAATGGACTTTATGTGAAGTTGGTCTTCATCTATTGGAAGTGAGGTTATTAAAAGCAAAAATCAAGGTACGAATATCCATTTTCAATGCGGCACTACTGTAATGAAGTGTTCTGGTGAATCAGTTTCAAGAATGGTAGCATGTTATCTAGTAGATTTTTTCTTGATCAATAGATTTTTTAGTTGGTGCCTGGTGGTAAAGCTTAATTCGTGTATTTTATATATGCTGATGTTATCTACAAATTTCATGTGTTTCTGTAAAAAAATAAAGGCTCAAACATGGACTTTTTTTTATCACCACTTTGCATCCAAATCTGAAAATGTAGGATAGGGACTCTTGCGCTGCCTATGACATTGATGTTCACTATAATAGAAACAAAATCAGGATTCCAAATGTTGATCCAAGTGACTACTCATACATTAACTTGTTGTTTGATGTAACCGAAAAAGCATTGAGCAAAATCCTTGGGAATGTTAGCATGATTATGCAGATGAGATGTGAAATTCTTGGAAAAAATTGCATGATGGATGTCAATGATAACTATGCAGTTAGTGAGACATTCAAAATACATCAATCTAAACTAGTGATAAACTTGCATGCCTCTGATATGGAAATTATACTTGCTGATGAAGAAAATGGCTTAGTGAATCCAACTGGTGTGAACATGCAAGATAATTTAGGCATTAAACAGAATACTAGTACAGCGGGTGTAGACCTTGGAGTCTCGAATGATGAGTATGGAGACTCTAGCTCTGATTCTTCATAGAAACGCAATCTGCACAGTAACTCTGAGGATAAAGTAGTTCTAGAAAGGGTTTCAAATGATGACAATGAGGATAGTGATACCAATTTTTTCTGAATTTGGGGACAGTGATGAAGTAGACCCTTTCTGGAACTACTTCAATGAATTTGCGGTTCCTGATTCTGAAAGTGAGGAGGAGGATGACCTTATGAGGTAAGTAATGAGACAAAAAATGTGGATTTACAACCCTAAAGATAACATAGAGTTTGAGAAGGAGTCAATTATTCACCAATGTGGATTCATTTAGAGTTGCCTTGAAAGATGTTATTCAAAAAGACTTTCCAATTCTAAGGTTGAAAAATGAGAAGAGTCGAGTGACTACTATCTATGGTGCCAAGGGATGCCAATGGAGAATACATGTATCACTAGTGGCTGATAATATCACTTTTTAGATTAAAACTTACCAACCACAGCACGTTTATGTGATGGATAAACACTGTGCTGAAGCTACATCTGACTGGATGGCCAAGAAGCCGGTTTGTGTACTAAGAGATCATCCTAATATGACTAGCAAAGGTGTAAAGGTAGAGTTGAGGAAGTGTGGTGTGAAGCCAAGTAAAATGCAGGTTTTTAGAGCTAAGAACAAAGCACCAGCTAAGATAGAAGGCACACATGCTGAATCTTATTCTAAAATTCCAAGATATGCTGAACTGTTAAGGAATAATAATCCCAACAATATTTGCAAAATACATTATGATAGGCCAAATCTTTTAGTTGAGCCTAAATTTTTAAGAATATTTATTAGCATTAGAGCTCAAAAGTTGGGGTTCGTGGAAGGTTGTAGGCCTTTTATAGGGTTTGATGGATGTTTCTTTAAGGGTCCATCTGGAGGTGTACTTCTCATAGCAGTTGCTTTGGATGCAAACAACAGCATATTTTCAATAGTCTTTGCTGTAACTAAATGTGAGAACAAGGAAACATGGAGGTGGTTCTTCTACTACTTTCAAGAGTTCTTTGGACCATTTGACAACAACATCCCTTTAACCTTCATGAGTGATAGGCAGAAAGTACACAAAATTTTGATTTAAGCCTTCAACTTAGTAATCAGAGTTTGTTATCGACTTATACTTTGCTAATGTAGGGATTGAATCTTGCTTATGAGGAGATATTTCCAGATGCAACTGGAAGGCACTGTTGTAGGCATATATGCAGCAATTTCAAGGCTCAATTTCTAGATATCTTAGCAGTTTCTATTGGAAGGCAACTAAAAGTTATGATGTAGTTGGCCATAATGAAGCAATGGCAAGTATTAAAGATATTAACATAGATGCTTGGAAATATTTGGATAAAATTCCAAGAAATGCCTAGTGTAGGCATGTCTTTTCACCTGAACTTAAGTGTGACCATGGACAAATAATTTCACCAAGTCCTTTAATAACTGGTTTGGTGATCCAAAGGGAAAGCCTATACTCACTTTGGTGGATGGCTTGAGAAGAAAATTCATGAAAAAGTTGCTTAAGAGATACTAGAAAGGTTGCACCTTGACTAGTAATATCACTCCTAGAATTGCCGAGAACTCATAGAAATTAGCCAAGCATCAAGAAAATGTAAGATGCATATGGCTAGTGAAGACACATTCAAGCTTGGTGATCTGGACAGAACCTACATAGTCAATCTCACTCAAAGAATCTATGATTGTGGTAGTTTTTGGATAGTTGGAATTCCGTGCAAACATGCAGCACTAGGAGTTATGTACAGGAGAGAGAAGTTGGAGTCCTATTGTGAAACTTGGTTCACAAAAGACAAGGCATACTCTGCAATGATTCATCCTATTCTTGATGTAAAGAGATGGCCTCCTATGCCTAAAGTGCTCCCAAAAGTTGTTTTGCCACCTATTTTGAGAAGAGCTCCTAGTAGACCAAGAGTAAATCGAAGGAGGGAAGCTAATGAAGGAGCATCTTCTGCACAAGCAAAAAGGTCAAGTACTTTCAAGTGTAGAAATTGTGGAGCTTTTGGTCATAATAAGATGACTTGCAAACGAGCACCTATGCTAAAAAGAACTGCAAAATAGAATTCTTGCTGAACTGGTAGAATTATTGCATAGTCATTACTCAATTATTAACTTATCATATGTCATAACTATTACTTACAGCTCATTTGAATTTGTTATCACAAATGACAAATAGAAGAGACAGACCAGGCAAAGGAATGGCCAGCATAGGCTTATCAGGAGTTGTTCTTTGCATAAACTATTAGCATTGTCTACCATTCCTTACCTATTCGAATTATGTACAAGAAGCTTTCAGTGCATTACTAACTCATTTTTCAAGATCATGCACAAGGAAATGTACCTATAATACACTCTAGTCAAGGGAGCAATCCTAGTCCTACATATCATAATGAAACACTTAATGTTCAAGATAATTGTCAAATTACTGCAGCAGTTTCTAATAGAAAGGTGTTAACATGTACAACATAACTTGTCTAACATAAAAAGTTCTAGATGTAATTTTTTATTAATGTTTATAGAGATGAAGGCCTGCTTAAAAAATCCTTCTACTTCAACAACAAGAGGTGCTGGTAGGACCAAATGAACTAGAAATGGTCACTGCAATTCTCAGGTGCTAGCTCAACTTGCTTCTAGATCTGCAAATGCTACATCTGTTAGCATGAATGCATCAGCAAATATGAACTCCAACAACATTAGTAATACTAGTACTTTTAGCTTATGGTTTTGAGTAACCAGTTAAACATGATAAGCTTAATATCTTTTTGTATTTAGTGTTGCTAGATGGGAAAGTACCAGTAGTTAAGGCACCAAAAATGTTTTTGTAAATGGCTGCTAACAATCTTTTTATAATAGTAGTGGTGCAATCCTCACCATTTGCATTACTATTTGTTGTAGATGGTGTTTTGTACTTGTGGATTGCATTGATGGAAATGTGGATTAGCTACTGATATAATTGGCATTTTAGCAAGCATAATGTCCCTGTTAGTGTCTTGAATGTGCCTTATTGTTTCATCGTTCATACGTGACTGGTTTCTATGTTGACATTCTGCACTTATTACTAAGTATCTAGGAGCAATTATGAATCAAATACTGTAGCTATTCATTACTTCATACATGAGTCTATACTGCTGCATACATGATTTTACATTGGTTTATGTAGAATTCTAATTGACATAGCTTGCATACATGAATTGCCTATCACTAGAAAAGGCATAATACAATTGGGAGAATGTTGCAGCAGATTTACATGACTTCATCCAATTGATTTGACTATTTGAATGAAATTAAATATAGCTAACAGTATGAGGTTGATGTTGAGTAGCATGTTTCCTAAGCCACCTGGTAGTAGAAATTGTTTTTGCTGTTCCACCGCAACATCAGTTTGCCTTTTTAAAATGCCAAGTACTCTTCTGCTAATGACTCCTTCCCTCTCTATGTCTCGATTGCTTCTTTTGCTATTAACTTCTTCTTCTTCTCCTCCATCATACAATTTAAAATACCTGTATTTTGAACTATAGAAATACAACTTGTCTAGATTCTTTTCGCTCTTCAATATCTTCATTGTGGCCTTGCGATTACAATAGCAATATCTATTTTTAATAGTGGAAGATGTTGGCGAATTCCATGATTCTTCCTTTTGGCTTGAAGAGGCCATAATTTCTGCTAAATATTTTTCACTATTTCCTGTAAATGCAAAACCCTTGCTCCTCCCAATCATAAACTTGAGGGTGTACATGCACTTCTGATGTTTATTTATAGTTGGAGTTGATAAATAATCTGGCCATTGGAAGGTTGCAGGTAGCCGTTGTTGTTCCTGTTAAAACAATGCTTATGTCTCCATGTAGTGCTGAAAATTTCTGAATTATATTTACACCCATTCAACTTTGACAATCATTTTAACCTTTTTAATAACTTGCAATCTTGTACTAATATAGGGTGCAAGAGGGCATTGATGGAATAAAAATGTCATCTTTGTCATGATAACAATATTTTAATCGTAGTTGGACTAAGTTATTGTGACGCCCCCACTTCTCCCTAAGGCGAACTAAAGGGTATCCGCGGGACACCTGTCGCGCCCCTTTTTTAAATAATAAAAGTATAATAAGTGAGTGAAATATGGTTTGAAAATGGTGATGTGTGTGAAAATGAAAGGGAAAGGCCATGGGACTTTGAAATGCGACGTTTTGGCCAAAAATAGTAATCTAAAAAGGTTTTGGTAAAATGTAGGAGTCGCCACTTGGTATTGAGTTATGGTGCACCAAGTCACCCAAAAAATGTGGATTTAAACGTAAAACCTTTTTAGATTGACTCCAAAATCTACGATAAATCAGAGAAAAATGGATCGGGGGTCATAGTTGAAGAGAGGGAAGGCAAAGACAATGTCTAAGGCACCTCTCAACCTAGCCTAAGCTAGTTGTATGATTTAGTCATGATTTTCCTAATTTCTAACCAGAAGATGTATCGCATTTGGATGTAACTAATATGAATGCAATCCTAAACGTAATAAGGAATTGAAAGGGACCAATATCTCTTAGAGGCTCGATCGGACTAAATCACATGAGTTATGATAGCCAAGAATAAGCCCTCCAAGAGGTCACGAGTAGTGCTAATGATGAAAAAATGAATGGAATGAATGTATGCAATGTGAAAACTTGAGCTTGTGTGAAGTGAAAAAAGTAATAATAATAATAATAATAATAAAAATAATAGTGTGTAAGTGGAAGTGTGCAAATAGGGGTGCAAGATGAGGTATGTAAAGTGACAGTGTGAAGTGCATGTGTGCTCAGTGGTAGCATGTAAAGTGCTAGTGGTAGAGTGAGAATGTGTAAGATAAGAGTCATGTGAAGTGAACATGTGAAAAAAGTAATAGTATATGAAGTGAGAGTGCAAAGTGATAGTGAGTAAATGAAATGCATGAACCCTAGAGGAATGCAAGCAAGACGGGTATGGGGAGACCCTAAATCGTGACTTTTACTTTTCCTTTTGGTTAAAAAAAGAATGAGCGTGCTAAGGCTATGTGTAGCCAAACTCGTCCATCCCCCTCACCAAAAGAGTAACTCCCTAACCTAATCAGGCAAATGACCCAAATGACTAGAGTGAAATGCAACATCCTAAAGATCATACATTGAATGTGGGAAAAGGGTAAAGGATCATGCAAAACGTAAAAAATACTAAGAAAAATGCATGAAAATGTAGTGAAGGCATGCGAGTATGTACTAGCGAGGGATGACCCTATTGGGTCTAATATTGGACTAGCCATTTACTAACGATCTCTCACAAGCATTGGACTTATGAGCGATTAGGAATAAATAGCCATGACTAGCATTGGACTAACCACGGTTATATCGTGCATTTGCATTCACCATATATACACAAGTAAATGGGCATAGTTAAAGCAAGTAGGCATATGAGCACGTAATTCACATAACACATAAACATGCATATCTAGATGCTAAATTCTAGGAAAGCGATAACACATAACAAGTAAGCATGCAAATCACACAGGGCAAATCAAGCAAATGAAGCCCTATCTATTACATTAGGGAGGCCCTATCTACTATAATCTAAAAGGGGAAATAAAATAAATAATAAGTACCTAACTATTACAAATTTGGCATTCAAGTGCCTTTCAAATGATCAAAATTGAACTAAAATAAATATACAAAACTAAAGCCAATAAAGCAAATAAATAAATAAATGAAATAAATAAATAAACATTTAAAAGGCATGCAATTAAACACGTAAAGTCACATAGGACACGTATGGTCAAATAAAGTAAGAAATAAGGGAAGGGTGTACCTCCCTTGAGTTAGGGCCCTAATGGAGTGAAATTACTTATTTGCCCTTCAAAATAAAAGAAAAGGTCAAGGCATCACAAATAGTAAAATAGAAGCAAAAAATAAATTAAACCAACAAATCACCGAATCCCTCCCAATTTGCAACTTAAATGTAATCAAATAGTGCATAGTTACAGAGAAAGGTAAATTATCAATCAAATTTCAAAAATAGAAACTTCTAAGAACCCAATAGCAAACATTAACAATCATTCAAGTCAATTAAAATATTTTGGGGACTTCAAGGGTCCATAAGAAATGAAAAAGTCAAGTAATGGTTCAAATTGCAATTATTTTATGACCTAATTTGCAAACAATTGGGCCTTTGTAGCATTGCTAGAAGTTAAGGGGAGTAAAGTGTAATTTTTGAAAACTATTTTGCATGCAAACTTCATGCAAAAAGGCTACGAAGAAAGCTTCTACTACCGAAAAAAAAAGAAGCTTGCTGCATTTCTTATTTTCAAGCTTTGATCAAAACCATTCCATCTAAGCATATAAACATGGAGCTAACAGCGATTCAACAAACTTCCACGTCCAACAAACGAAAACGTAGAAAGAAATTATGCAAGTTCTTAAAGAACTTTCTTTTCTACACCATTCCATCCATAAGTTTCTTTCCATTTCATCATGCAAACAAGTTCACCAACTACCAGGATTATTGACTAAATCAAACACGAAATTTTGTTGCAGGATTAAGGTAGAAAATCTGGTTTGACCGACAACAAAAAAAAGAAAGAAAAATGCAGCAAGAGTTTTTGCAAGAACAAAACAAGCAAACTGCTGCATTTTTGTTTCACTTAGCTGGGACACATCCATGCAAAGCAACCCAAGAAATTTCCAACGAATTTGATAACTCAACTCAAATACAAGAACTTGGGACGAAGGGGAGAGGAAAGATAACAACGGAACAGAATGCTATACTCACTTGCTGAAAAATTTTACTCAGACTTTCCAAGAAAAACAAACCAAGAACCAGATAATGAACACTGATGGCCTTTGACACTAAGTTCCCAATCACGCACATGACGTCTCAGTCAAACCGCAAACCAATCAAGCGTTTCAAACAAAGCCAAAACTTCGGCAATCTAAGGAAAAGAAAAGGGATCTGCGCACGCTGCTGCAACAGGACCGAGAGCTTTGAGCTTGTTGCAGCAGATTTTATGCGCAATGCAAACTGAACCCAGGTGACAGGATTATCAAACATTCCTCTTAGTTTAGACACAAAAG